GAAGTGTGGGCGGAAGGAAGTGTGGGCAGATGGGCGGACAAAACAGAGAAATAAAACTGGGCGAGGGGGCCAACGCCTGTAGTCCAGCCCTTGGGAAGCGGAAGCAGCATCGCTTCAAGATCGAGGCCATCCTGCCCCTGTTACAGAGTGAGTCAAGGCCAGCCTGAACAACGTAGTGAGGCCCTGTCTCGCCCCCCACACCCATAAATAAATAGTACAAGTGGTGCTGGGTCTCGAGGAGAGTGCCTTGGGCCCTGTGCCCCTAACCCTGGGGGCCATGTCTCCCCAGATTCCGTGAAAATCATCCTGGACTACAACACGGCCCACTACAAGGTGTCTCTGTCCGACAACTACACGTCGGCCTCGGTAGCTGACACGGTGCAGCACTACCGGCCGCACCCGCATCGCTTCACGTACTGCTCACAGGTGCTGGGCCTGCACTCTTACCGGAAGGGCATCCACTACTGGGAGGTGGAGCTGCAGAAGGGCACCTTCTGCGGGGTGGGCGTGTGCTACAGCGGCATGGACCGCCAGGGCCCCGAGAGCCGTCTGGGCCGCAACCCCGCGTCCTGGTGCGTGGAGTGGTTCAACAACAAGATCTCCGCGTGGCACAACAACGTGGAGAAGACGCTGCCCTCCACCAAGGCCACGCGGGTGGGCGTGCTCCTCAACTGCGACCACGGCTTCCTCATCTTCTTCGCTGTCTCGGCTGACAAGGTCCACCTGATGTACAAGTTCAAGGGGATGGACTTCAGCGACGCCGTGCACCCGGCCTTCTGGATGTTCTCCGCGGGAGCCAAGCTCTCCATCTGCTCCCCCAAGTAGCAAGCTAGGGACCCGCGGGTGACCCCTGAGGCATGTCAGAGACCCGCGAGAAGGGGACAGGTTGGACTCTCCTTGAAGAGCATCTTGGATCTCCCTGGGGGAGGGGCGAGAGGAAGTAGGGGAGGGGGAGGGGAGGGGCACAGCCAGGGAGGAGGGCTGGGAGCATCGCACCTCCCACGCACCCTTCTCCCTGACTCCTGGGGAATATCTAGGGTTGCTGGGAAGCAGGGCAGAGCCTGACGGAACAGAGTCACCAGTGTCCTTTGCCTCTTGTAGAAAGAATACCAACATCCAGGTCAGGTTCTTTCTCAAGCTACGGGGACAGCCCTTCAACTCTAGATGGTTAAGAAGTTCCAGGCTCAGCTGGGTGTGGTGGTGGTGGACTCAGGAGGCTGAGGCAGATGGATCACCATGAGTTCAAGGCCAGCCTGTGCTGTGTAGCAAGACTCTGTTTCCAAACAAAGAAATTCCAGAATCATTAAATTTCCTTTTTTGTTTTTTTGAGAAGTGTCTCACTACGTACTTTAGGCTAGGTCTAAACTCAAGGTGATCCTCCTGCCTCAGCCTCACAGGTGCCAGGATTATAGGTGTACTCTGCCATGTCTGGCAGAATCATTGAATTTTAATATATACTTTATCTTATTTTGATGCTGGGGATTGAACCCAGAGCCTCGTGGTAGTGAAGCACACGACCTACCACTGAGCTGCACCAGCAGCCTGGGTCATAGCATCCCCAGGCCCATACCCCCCACCTGCAGGGAGGGGCTCTATCTTTGTGCTCAAGGGGGCTGTGGACAGCAAGTGTCCATGTGGACCAGAGTTTGCCAAAGAAGTGTGCCCTGTCTTTCCACCGGAAAACTGCTCTTCTTCTCTCCTAAGCTGTTCCTTCTGTTGCCACACTGATGATTTAGAATATGTTCAGGTGAACCTTGGTGATTACGGCTCATGATCTGAATCGCACCATGTGGCATTTGTGACTGTGTCCAGACCACCCTGGCCCAGTTGGGATGGAGCCTCCCTCTTCCATGGGTCATGGAGGGGTCTTGCCAAAGATGCTCCATTGCCACACTGACCCTTAGCCAGGACAGCGTGACCAGAGCGTCTTTCCTTGGTCCCTTTTGTCCATGATAACGCCCCTTCCCTGGGTGGTGGATACATGCCGCTGTGGCTGACACAGTCAAGCAGCCAACCATGCCATCATCCTGAGTGTGCTGTCACACAGTCGGACCATGTGTGCCTACTGCTGACAGCATACTAGGTCGCTTGTCTGAGTGGCTGTGTGTGACCCTAAGGGCCTCATAGCTGGCCCAGGGGAGAACAAGAATATTCCTGTTTATCTCTGGCCACAGACAGGTGATCTGGCCCTAAACCCCTAGTGAGTGTGCGGCCTGTCGCTGGCTGGCCCTAGCCCCTTCCACTTGAGTCACTTCTAGACATCTCAGGGACCAGGCTAGCAATCACAAAGACTTAAGAATCGGGGAAGGAATGAGATAAATAAGTGGCTGTTTTTCCCCTGTATTATTTTATGCAGTAAAACTGAGCCAGTGTGCTAAGTAGGAGGGAATGGGTTGGTAGAATTTCCCCCACCTCTATATCTTAACGTCAGGATGTAAAGTTCCCACTCCAAAAGTGTGAAGAACTTCACTTCTTGTGATATGAGTTCAGCCCTGGGCTTTCCTGAGAATGGGAATTCGCTCTAACAGGTATCTTATGGTATGAAAAACGCTCACCAATGGGAATTTAGGGACCCCAAGCTTTTTCATGTGGATATTGAGAACGTATCCCATCTTAGGCCACATGCCAGAATCCCAGGACTCTGAGCCCTTGGTATTCCTGACAGATGGGTCTGTTTCATTTGCCAGGAAGAACTTTCAGTTCCTTGGGAGAGGAAAAATATTTGTAGGGAGGATGTCCCTGCCGTCACTGATGAAAGATTTCTTCCTTTGGTCTGAGGAAGAAAAGATCTTTGGTGATGGATGCTTCTCTGGTTTCAAAGATGTCCAAAAGCATCTTGTGAAGCAAACCTTGTCCGGAGCCAAGTCACACTTGGGAGATGATGGGCTTCGAGGAGTTGGATGCCAGAGGCATCCCAGGGCTCCTGCTAGGACTGTCTCTGCAGGACCAGGGTTACAGAGAGGGCTCTTTCCTGGCAGATGTGCCACATGGGACAAGGGGAGCCTGTGGCCCTGTGTCCAGGAGAAAATCTAGTCCCTGGAACTGAGCTCTATACAGAGCTCTGCAGCTGTGGACTGAGCCGCACACCCAGCTGCCTGTGCAGTGGGGAGGCCTTCCAAGACCAGCCTTGCCGGCTGGTGGAGGAGTCATGGATGAGAGAAACCTTTGCATCCAGGCGGCTTCTCACCTTGCGGAATCAGGCTGGTGAGGAGGTAGAGGAGGGCCTTTCCCTACTCTCGCTACTGCATTGGGAAGAGATGTCTCTTCCTGGGAGAACAGAAAATCCCTGGTGTCCTGCAGCAATATCCAGAATCCCCGGAAGAAACACTAACATAAAATCCTTTCCTGGCGGATACCAGGACTGTCTCAGTCCCTCTGACACGACAAAGGTCAAAGTCGAATCTAGCAGTATTAAGATCGACTGACCGATTGTACGTGTTATAATCACTCGGAAACTGCCATCTATTACTAATACTGATGTGGAATCCTTTTACCTTATTTCTTCACCTACTACTGGTTTTAGTTAATCAGGGTTTTTTTTTTTTTATATTAGAAATCGAACTCGGGACCTTGTGCTTGCCAGCCAGGCAGTGTGCTGCTGAGCTACATCCCAGGCCCCCTAATGAGGAATATTTGAACGATAATTTCTTAATCTTTTTTAAAAGAATTGATTCTTTGAGGAGATAATCATGGCTAGCACCAGGACAAGGCTGGCGGTGGAAGCTCAGAAATTTTAAAGGCAATCAAGCCATGTTGGGTTTTCTCTCTGGAATTGCGCTGCAGAGTGGAGAAGATCCCTCTTCCAGCAGATGAGGTGCCTGGGGTTGCCCAACACCACCGGACCCTGGCTCCGGACCAACAGAATGATGGGATGTCTGGGCTAACTCGCTGCGGCCAGTGGGGGGCGGGGGTGGGGGCGGGCGGGGGGCTTGGGGAGCAAAGGAGCCACTAATAGGTAGGTGGGGCTCGCGGTCCTTTCTACTATTGGCCCTGCTTAGTGTGTCTCTGTTGAGAACTGAAAGGAGCAAACACTCTGTAGCAGCAGACCCCGGTTCTGGGAATCTCGTCCTCCAGATCACAATAGGCCTTGTAGGAGGTGCAGGTTCGAGGTTGCGTCCATCAGAGATTATGGCTGCCTGCTTCGACCCTGGCTCGGGGGAGGGGCTCCACGCCCTGTGGGAGTTTCCTGTCTCACACCTGAGTTGATGGCAGATGAGATGGTTAGCACCAGGCTGGCTGCTAGGAAAACTAGGGCTGCCAGCAGGGCCCTCCTGACCTCTGGGATGAAAGGGGCCTGGGGCTAGTGCTCAGTCACTTGGTTAGGGCTTCAGCCTACCCATGTGGCCAGTCCTGCCTACAAAGTGACTCTGAGCACGCCTGTGGCAGAGGCTCCCAGAGCTGCCTAGCTGGTGAGCGTGGCCAGGCCAGGAGGGTGATGCTCACTGGTTCCCTGGGGATGGGACAAGATGCTCTGTGTCTGAAGCCCCCCAGATCTTGCCCTGTATGTCCCCTTCTTTGGCCGGCTCTGATTCGTATCCTTTATAATAAAATTATAATTTAAAAAAATGGAGTACTTGTCTGCATTCTGTGATTGATTTATTTCTCTCTCACTTTTTCTCTTCCTGTTTTGCTGTCTTTTTGAAACAGAGTTTCACTATATAGGTCAGGCCTGGCCTTAAACTCATTTTCTAGCCCAGGCTGGCCTTGAACTTACAGTCATCCTCCTGCCTCAACCTGAGGTGTTCTGTGATTTCTAGCTGACTAACAGTGTCATGGTAACCTGGATTTGTAGCCAGAAGTGTCTGCTGTCTGAAGGGAGAGCAGCCTTCCTGAGGGGCTGTGTCTTTTTGCCTGCGGTGCTGACTGACAGGGCTGGTCAGTCTCTGCCCTTCTCGGAAGGACAGCAGCTGGCTCCGGAACAGAGATGGTGCGGCCCTGAGGCTGTGTCTCTGCCCCGTGTGTCTGGCCAGCTGGTCGGAACAAGACACGCCGTTCTTACTTCGTCCCTGTGTGTCTGCTCACCCCTGCCTCCTCCAGCTGTTTCTTCTGTTGTCCCTGTTACAGCCCAGCCTCCCACACTACTGTCCCAGCACAGTCTCTTCTAACAAAGATTCCAGGGCTGGGCATGGTGGCGCATGCCTGTAATCCCAGCACTCAGGAGGCTGAGGCTGGAGGATCCTTACAAGTTCGAAGCCAGCCTGACTGGGCCTGTCGCAAGACTGTCTCGAAGCAAAACAAAACAGAAATGCTGACTCGAGTCCCCTCATGGGCAACTCCCAGGCAATGTCCTAACTCGAACCCCACTTGTAGCCACAAAACAGTTTGGAGCATTCTGGTACCTTTAACTCAGTCTTTAGTTCAGTCTTCGCTTTGTCTCCATTACAGTTCCATGTAGACCAGTTGAAGTTGTAGAGGAAAAGAGTCCAAAACAGCTAGGTATGGGGGCAGACTCCTGTAATCCGGGCACTCAGGAAGCTGAGGCAGGAGGATCACTGAGTTCAAGGCAAGTCTAGGCTACGTCGTGAGAAGAGAAAGAAGAATTAAGAAATGAAAAACCCCAGGAATATAGTTCAGTGTTCAAGTGCTTGCCTGTCATTCGTAAGACTCTGGGTACAATCCTTGTACCATACACAAAAAAAGGTGACATTAGTCATGTGACTATTTTCTCACATACTCTGTCTGCACATCTACATCTCCATGTTGAGGGTCATTTAGTTGGAATGTAAAAAGCGCCAAAGAGGCTTGGAAACAGTCTTACTATGTAGTCCAGGCTGGCTTTAAACTACACACACACACACACACACACACACACACACAACACACGATAGTTTGTCTCCTTTTTACCTATCTTTATTTCTTTTCTCCTTAATACTGAATTATGTCTTAAATAATTAACAGTTCCTGAAACCTCATGGGGGAAAGAAAAGTGATTCCAGGGGTGGCCGATCCCTGCAAACTCTCAGAGGTCGCTCTGCTTAGTCCTCTGTCCCTGTCAGAGCTGGAAGTTCAAGGACACCAAGCTGGGCTTGCACAGGTGGGGATGTGAAAGTCTTATCTTGGGTTCACAGAGCAACAGGAAGTGGAAGGTGGGAGGAGGGGATGCAGGAGGCCACAGGAAAAGGGCCAGAGTTCAAACTCCAGGAACAGGGACAGGAAGGCGGGCCGGGTGTCCGTCGGGAGCCCCCTGGATCAGGAGCTGTGGGTTGAGTCCTGGAGGGTACAGCTG